CCCCCCCCAAAAAAAAAGAAACCCGGCCCTGAAAGAAACAAACATACGACGCACACTAATGCCTCCTTTCAACATATCCAAATAGTGATCGATAACCTCCTGTGTGAAAAAAATACTAATTCCAATAATTACTATGAGAACGGTTCAATTATCAAATTTCACATTGTTGACTATACACACCTGGGAGTGTCGCATTTTGCACGTGTTTTGCTAGTAAAGCGTCTACACGACGAAGAGGTCATAATAAAGTTTTCGTGTGTTGGTGCAATTCTTACTTTACTCCGCTTGTTCTAGTCTACTCGGCTGTAAATGAGTACGTGGTTGGGCAGTGCTAGAATTGTTGAATGCTAGCTGTGAGCGCCGAAATGGCAGCACCGGTTGTGTATGCTCCCCAGGGATTTGAGAAAGATGTTGGCTGGTTGCAAAGGCCCTATAACCACGGATGATAATTTGTGAACCGCTTTAAGACGACCTACGAACTAGGTTGTGATAAAGCGGTATATAAGAACCTCTATAATTTAAGAAATTACAAAAATCACCAAACAAATTTTAGGAGTTTTAAACATCATGACAATATCATCAATCTTCAACATCCTCTTCTAAATATGTTTCTTCTGTCAAGTTTTTTTTTTTTTTTTTACTTTTTGACCCTTTACACATCAATTTCTCATATCAAATAGATTTTCTTTTCAAAAAAAAGAGCAAACAGCGATAGAAATATATGGTTGTAAATTATTTTGGAGCATATTTTGTGAAAATTGAGTTCCTGGTTGAGTTCGTTATCAAGTCCAGTGGCAAGACTTTCCATCAATAAGCTGACTGAAGGCATTCCTATGGGAAGAAACTGTGCCCTTCCTCTGGCCGTTTTTTTTATGGTCATAAGAGGATAGATTTATTGATAAGCAATCAAGACAAAACACCTTAGCCAATTGCAATTATTTCAATTTAACATTCAAATATGTCGACAGTATGCTGTCTGTAAATTACCAGAATTTTATTGACCGCGTCGATCTTATATACCCTTCCGAGCTTGAAATTATGGAAACTACAGGCTCTTCTAATCCAGTCACTTTCCGTAATCTTTACCCATATCAAAATGAAAAGTGGCCTCTTAAAACTACGCTTCGATAAGCGTGACTATTTAGACTTTCCGATTGTAATCTTTCTCTTTCTTGACAGTAACATCCCAGCCTCCCCATGTTGATTGGGTCTGTATTCAAGAGTTTGTTGCAAATAGCATAACTTCATAACTTCAAGACTTCATCATGATATCAAAGAAGTAAACTGCTGGTGTTACAAAAGTTACAAAACATGTTTTTTTTTTCAAAGATGCAGCTTAATGAAGATTTGCTATTGACAAGTGTGTGTGATATAAAGGTTAACGTAAATGATTATGTTTATTAGTGTCGTGTTGTTGTCACTACCCCAGGATTTGACCTAAATTTGACCTATATTTGACCCTATATTTGACCTATATTTAATACAGAAGTCTTACCCTTCTGGAACACCTGGTCTTATTTTCATTGTATTTTTTCAATGGTCGCCATGCCTTTGTTTAAATTTTGCCCTTTTATCGATTTGAGTTCACACTCCGTTTACGCTTCAGTATTTTCCATTATATTATGAACCACTCTCCTACCAATAAGAATTTAAATTTAGTTTATATGCTTTTGGAAAAAAAGGAGTCGTTATTCTACTTTAAAATCATTACATAAATATTGTCGTCAGTGGAAATGAGTTAAAATATCCTGCTAAAATCCTCACATTACATCATAACCACTCTTTCATATATAATTTCGTACTTTCTGTATCTTGTATCGTAAAACGCACCGGTACACTTATCAATTGATTTTATTAAATTTTAAAACTGCTGTCGTTAAACTACAAAAACAGCTATTTTTTTTTAGCAAATTGCTCAAGTGCCTACACAAGATTATCTATCCCAGTACGCCCCTGTGAATAACGTTTACACCTAAAAATACAAATTAAACAAACACGTTGTGATTAATTTCTTCATCATTTAATGTATGTAAATGTATATATGTGTAATAGGACGAGGAATAGTGATAAAGATAGTGCTGCCGCTGAGGCTCGAACCCGCGACCCTCGACTCTCCAGCCCGATGCTCTCAATTCAATTCAATTCAATTTATTACCAAATGCACATTGCATATAAGGGTACAGAAATATACATATAGATAAATACTTTACAAATATCTTGTACAATGGCGGAGAACATATTCAAAAGATTCAATTCCATACATAATATTTACAAATTATGAAATTGGCATAAGTTTGGGAAAACTTTAAGGTTTTCCTAAGGTAACTTAGCGGACTCTTATGAAGCATAATTTAGTTGCATAATTTAGTCGTTTAGGAAATAATACAAATAAAGCCTTAATCTAACCAAATTTCTAGGAAATAACAAAACTTCAAAGTCAATCATACAACCTCAACATGAAGGTAGAACGAGTACTTTATATTATATAATGAATGAGATTATAACTCATTGTGAAATAAAAGACATAGATCTCAATCGCATTATACAGTAACAAAACGTTTATAGCAAGAATTTGATACAGCTTATATTTAATAATATACAACTTCTCTTAACAGTTGCCTGAATCAAGTACTTACTTAAATTTCTAATAAGTTTAAAAAATTTGTTAGACAGTAGCTTTATTAATTTAAACACAGAAGGACGAATACGATAATATGGCTTGATATACGATACTCTTAATTCTAAAAACACAGGACACATAAGAATGATAAAGTACACAATCTCTGGTTTCGAGGCACTGCATTATATCTACCTGTCTCTATATTAAGGCTATGTGCTTGCAATCTATATTTCGCAAGAATACATTTATTTTTTTCTAAATAGCGGTTTTGTAAAATACCATTGTAGATCAAAACGGTCAACAATGTGTTTATACAACAAACATTTTGAAGATGTCGCGAATATGTTTCTTATTTCCTGCATAAAAGTATCCTTTATGCGTTGTACCGCTAAGCTAAAGGGAAATTCCCCACAGCTGACACTTGTATTAATTAGGTTGCCTAACCTAATTAATCCACATCTTTTACACTCTTTCCCCATTTTTTTTAACACCAACCCCGGTTCTTTGACTCCCCACCAAGGGTTCCCCTACCCTTGAATGGTGAGGGCCAACGGCAGCAGTAATAGGACGAGGAATAGCACGGAATTAGATTATAATTAGATATCTAAGTCCGCGCGGACAGTGATAAAGATATAGTGCCGTCGCTGGGGCTCGACCCCTGGCTCTCCAGCCCGATGCTCTACCGCTAATTAAAGCTAAAGGGAAATTCCCTACAGCTGACGCTTGTTTAACAAATGCATAGCACAGGGACGTAGGTCTTTTAAAGTATTCGTGAAGAAATTTGGGGAATGGGGTCTCCTCTACTGTGATTTTTAAGTATAGTGAAGGAGACACTTTTTTCTTTCTCTTTACCGATAAATAAAGCGATCACGTCCCTGTGTTGCAGAGGCCTGGGATATCAGCTTTCAAGAAAGTGAATATTAGAATTGTATATTGTATTCACTTGGTGGGTGATTATTTTAAAGTCACATTCCAACCTATAATATATACAGGACAAAGTAACGTGTTGCGCAATCCGACGCCGAATAAGTGTATAAGAGAAAAAAAGAAGGGAGTATAAGGAGAGAACAGGGGCCAGGTAAGTTCTCTACTCCGGCCCGGGAAACACATGAGCTAATATAGTGCTCCCCTAAAACATGATTTTTTTCGCATGTTTTGTCGAAACTTACGGACAGCTTAACAAATTACATGTCAACAACAAGGCCCATAGTTAGCCATGATACATACAAACAATTTGTCAAGTTACTTCTGTTAAATTGCACCATAGTAGTGATTAATAGGCTTGTAAAATATCACTTGTTTACGTCTACAAAAGGGTAACGCAGAAGGCTACACAGCGGGAGAAGTGTAGACACGCTCCTTACACTAGCGGAGTCGTTGAACCACAACCTGAACTCGTGGAAAAATAATCGATATTTCTGAACGTATCCTCCTCGCACTGGAAACATCCACTTATTGCTCAACGTAATACCGGACTCTAGATAGGCAGAATCGGCCGGAAAATGACATGGAGGACAGTGGCTGTGTCTTCTGCTGTTGGAATAGCTACCCTGTTGGTCATACCATATTTACACATAGGTGAGTTCATATTTTGTTCTTCCATGTGTGGAGTGGGTGTGTCCGGTAGCTGTGTTAGTCGTATATAAGAAGAGGTCAAACAATTCACTAAACAGTATAGTACACATGGTCATGTTACGTTCAGTGTACTGTATGTGTGCACAGTGTGCGACACCCGACTTCAAATTCAGTCAATTTTTACGGTGACGCGACCGCGAGATTCTTTTGATTTACATGCATCAAAGGATTGAACTAGTCTTCATGTCTCATCCACAATGTGGCGTACGCTGAGCCTTCGATTTTGCTATCCCATATTCTAGGGGTGCAGTGAGCGAACGTTTACTGGAATATATGATTAATGTATTTTTATTTAATTCTTCCCGTTATATCAATCTGCTCCGGGTATGTGTGTGTGTGTGTGTGTGTTTGCGTGCGTGTGGGTATAGAAGTATGTACTATAACATGGAAAGTGATCTAGATATCTACGCCACTGGTGGATGAGTGAGCCTTCGTATTAGTGTGTGTAGTTCAACATGTAGCAATATTATTAATTCAAATAGATATACATACTTTCCATATAATTGTCTATTTCAATAATCTCAATAAGTAATTAATAATCAATAATTTTGTAAATATACCTTATTTTTCTATGTAAATGTATGTTGTACCGTTTCAGGAGAAGACTTATATAGGCACTGCCTGTTGTCTAATCCTTTTGTTAACACAAAAAATATTTTGAAACAAAACGTGAGCGTTACCCCTGGAGTATCGCGGATGACACAATTAAGGAATGTGATCGGTCAGTATATATGGAAAGGTCAACTTGGAAAGATCAACTTGGACATACAGACATTTATGTGTAATGTGTGTACACATATTCTAAGTACTGATAGGCCTACGTCATGTAAACACTAAAGGGCACAAAGCCGTTGGTCTAAAGACTGAGGATTTTATTGGCATATAAATTATCAGTGTAATAACCTGCGTAGTATAATGTAGCATATAGGTAATTCCTGTAGGAACTCTATCTAAATCACAGATTTTTATAACGACAGTTATACATCTCTGATTTCAAGGTGGGCTGTACAGTGGAATCTTTGTTAACTTCCAAATGTTTATCAAGTTTTAATTTTGAATATAAATTATATTAACAATTTTATTAGACGAAACATTGGAAGTTAGGTGGCGTTTGTAGCAACGTACGAGTCACAGAATGTTTTCGTTGATTGTTTTTTTATTAACCTTCTCTAGGACGACATACGATAGTGAAGGTGTCATGACTTGTCGTCTGCTTTATTTCCCTGTGTGTACTGGTATAGCTTTATGGTGTCGGCTTTATGTGACTGGTTACGTATACACATACCTTGATATTTATGTTGGAGGATGATCATTTCACTGAAAAACCTGTTATTGTTATTTACTGAGAGGCCCTGTGTGAAGGGGTATTTTACTTAGAGGCCTCTGTGAATGGGTATTTTACATAGAGGCCCTGTGTGTGTGTGTGTGTGTGTGTGTGGGGGGGGGG